GCGTGCACCCTCCAACGACGGCTCAATGCCAATACCGATGCGTGACGATGGCACGCGCGTCGTTCGACTCCTCCTCACTTCTCCTCGCCTCGCCTCGCCTCGTTTTGCCTCGCCTCGATTCGCTTCGCTTCCCATCGTTCCGTTCGAGCCGTTCCCACGGCCGTCCACCAAAGCCACGACTTGTCACAGGCTCGTTGACACATTGTGCTCGCGTGGCAGCATTGTTTGCCTCCAGACACACACAAAAGATTGATGTCTGTTGGTCAAACAGTCGAAAATCTGTGTCGGCATCGGCCGTGGGCCGTGGGAAGGTCGGCACAGGCGCGCGCCCGCAGCTGCCTAATCCTCCTCCAGCGGCGAACAGCTCGCCCCAGCCCGCCTACCCGCCCGCCCGGGGCCCCTGTCGCGAGGTGTCGTGCGCCGCCAACAACTGGGTTACTACTTTCCCACAGCTTTTTACATACCTCGTGAAAAGTCCTCGTCGTCGTCACTCTCTATTGTCGTCGGCGGCGGCGAACGCCGCTGTGCCGACGGGCGACAAAAACGTCGACGCGTGCCGACGAACGACCACCGCCTCCGCCTCCACCTCCGCCTCGTTCCTCCGTTCGGTTCCGTTTGAGGGCTCCACTGACTCGCCAGAGGCCATCACATCACATCACATCGACCTCCTCTGTCGGCTCCCTCACAGCGTCAGCACATGACTGCTGTCAAGGTGCGTCGGCGAGCTTCAAAGCTTCCGTCGCGATGCTTTCTTCACCTACCTTCCAAGCGGAAACTTGATCCTCGCCGATCATGCACTGCTTCACTGTGCCGACATGATTCGCCAACAACTACCCTCTTACCGGCACAGCTTCTCGTTCAGCTGCTAACGGAATCATCAAAGCGTCTGCATCAGCTGTGAAATGTCCTACAATTACCCATTATTATCTTTTCACATGGATTCATCACAGTCTTATAAGGGACAAATCTGAACTTATTTCTTAACTCTTGCGGTCAGTAGAGAATCTGTTCACCTTCATCAAATGAACTTTGAGAAAATTCATATAACATGTTCTATAGCAAGTCTCGTTTTGGCTTCTGACCTGACCTGAACAAAGCCATTCGTTTAGTTCAAAACTCATAAGATAGTGTAAAGTAATCAAGAACAAAAAAGCGAATTAAATATTTCATTTTCTTGTGTACTATCTTACGCATTATTACGTTTCGACCAATTATAAGCAGAAATCAGAAATAAGTGAACGGCTTCATACAGGTCATAGGCCAAAACTGGACTCTAGATAACCCCTCAGAACGTCGTTTCTCAAAAACTCACTTTATGAAAATGAAAAGATTCGTCGCTGATGGCGAAAGTTAAACAAACACCCCCGCACCTAGGCAACATTTCGAAGTTCGTGTTTAATCGGCATCGAGACAATAATAATTCAGCAATTTCATAAGCGCTTTATCGCTCAATGAAGTATCGTTTTAATGTTGTTTGGTTACAAAGTTGCTGAACTTCTGACTCGAAATTTTTTGGCACAAAGCAAAGATTAATCTCAAGATCGCTTTATGAATTTTTTTCCACTTATTGACATAAAATGACCTTCCTCAAGGATACAAAATAGGTTGATCTCTTACGTGATAGGTTTCTACATAGGTAGATAGGAAAAAAATAAAGAAAAAATTTATAACTGTTGCAATGTCGGTTTTCCTTACATTTACTTGATAGGGCCATTTCTAGCTCTCTAATGCTTATGAAGTCAACCACGGGGAGCTGATCTTCACTTCCATGCCATCAGCTAGTAGTGCCTCATTTTTTAAAGGCAGTGTGGCCACTATGTGGCAAGAAAGGCGTGCAGTTCTCCTGTTCTTTCCACTGAAGGTACTCACATTTATCAACCTCAGGAGCAATAAAGGCGAGTGACCTAGCCTCAGCTCAAACGCGGGACCTCTCGGTTCTGCGCCTTAATGACCGAACAATATCGATCTACAGATTGAACCGTCTACGAGATTGCTCGTCATTCACCCCCATACCAACGTTTTGCGTTCTGTACTACCAAACCGTTTTTGCATTAATAAACCATTCTATATATTGCGTTCCATTATGACCGCCGATGCACTAGAGAAATATTCAAAACCGTTTGTATTATGTATTCCACGATGGTTTTGAAAGTAAAGGCAAAATTCTCCGTATGTGGTGATTTGGTAATTGAGCAAATATCCTTCTGAATCTCTTTTCTCCTTTTGCTACACGACAGAGGATGCACAACTTCAGACTAGTTGCAACTAGCCAGCATCAAAGAACAGAAATTCAGCAAAAGGCATGAAAACTTTTCTTCATGTCTAGAAGACGTAGCGTAGAATGCACAGGACTTGCTTAGCTTCATACTCCTCTGCAGCTAGTATAATTATTGCCAGATGGAAACTGGCAAATTTACTGTTTTAACTGTGCAGATGTGTCTGTGGTGTTTGTGTGATCATGACAATGAGTCAATTGCACAAGCTGAACGTGTCTGTAGTGTGCTATCGATTTTATTCGAATTTTTTAAAACACTTTTCTTCAGTACACCGTTACCTCATCACAGAAGGAACATTTTTCTCGGAAAGAAGATCTGATAATATCTTCTTCCTCCTTGTTTCATGTGACCTACTAGTCGACGCCTGCTGCGTTGCAGATCCCATACGAAAAGCTGACGGGTTTGATTGAATTTGTGCTCTACCAGCTATATATGTATGTCTGACAAAATTAAATTTCTTTTCTTAATCTTCATGTCTATTGAGGTCATCTGTGCTTGGAATAGAACAGATTCATTTTTTTACATGGTCGTGCCATTCAACCCTCACTATACATCATGCCAGCGTTGTTGTACGCAGTCCAATCGTCTTTCTTGTTGGCCAGTTAGAACAATTGTCTCCACGCCACACAACAGAAATGACTTGGAAGAGGTAACATGCATGGGGATTTTTCTTGGAAGGCTACTTCTTTCTCAACCCAAATATTTGACAGTTTGCCAAAAGCACTGGAGGCGAGTGTGATACCCTATTTAACGTTGATTGAATGGTGCCATCGCTGGAGATGATTGAGTGAAAGCACTTAAATTGTTCGACTTCCTCCATGGCTGCCCATCTCTGATCCACTAATTAGATCAGGTGTGTGTGATGTGTTCCTCATAACTTTAAACTTCTGGAGGTTAATGTGGAGATCAGCGTTCGCAGATGCGTTGCAAACAGAAGCGGCATCCCTTACTGCTCGGCAGCACAATAGAACTGCGTTCTTCAGGTCACTGAGACTTGGTCTGATATTTTTAACTTCGCCTTCCCTCCAAAATGGAACCTCTGTCTTTACAAGAGTCAGCACTGTTTCAGAGAAGGAAGCCAAAAACAATGTTGAACAGCAAAGGTGAAAGCATATACCCTTGGCGAACTCCACGTTATAGGGAACCACTCAGATAGCTCTTTCGACTTTGACAGCAGTCATGGTTCCTGCATACACCTCTTTCAAAATAGAAATGAAGTGTTCAGGCATGCCATTGCATTTTAAGATTCTCCACATCGTTGAACGATTCTTTTGGGCGAGGTAAGCTTCTTGATTCCTCTCGATTTTGCAACAAATGATTGAAAGAACTAGCGACCGTCAAAATGCTTCAATTTTACTACGGACAGTGGTATAATCTGTGTAGGTTTCTGAGTATTTCCATATACAAGTCATTATATAGTCGTTGGGAAACGCCCGGCTTTGGCGAGAATCTTGTAACCGAGCTTCTGGCACTCACAACGACTGAATCAGAGCCAGTTTTGCAAAGGCATATTAATATAAGCCTGAACAGTGGAATGGATCAGTGAATAAGTGCATGAACGAAGGAGACGGGTTCGCAGTTAGTTGAAATTAGAATGAAATGAACTGTTTTAAAGCTTCTCTCTCAAACCTCTGGCAGCCAAAGCCAAAATAATTAAGCTGACTGAGATCAGACCATGAAAAGTTAGTCGCTGATTACAATGAGGTATGTACTCGGCACTCATACGTTTTCGCAGTGCAAAACAGTTTCTTCTACAGCTGCCTTGGTCGTCAGATTCCTTTTACGACTCACTGCATAAGGTGGTGAAACAAAAAGGGTTTTGTTTAATTCATTTGTTTTAAAGAACACTTACCTTTCTGACTTAGTCATTTTTGTAAAGAAGTTAGCGTTTATTTCGAAAGAAATTTCAAGGGATCCACATTTGAGAGACTTGAAGCGATGTTCAGCATTACGCAAAATAGAAGTTTTTAATAAGCATTGTTAAAACTTGCAGAAACTTTGTCTGTCTAAATATTTTAATAGCTTTTTTTGCCTATTGCTGAAAGCCGTTAATAAGTTATCATAAAAGGTAATGGCAAAAGATGCAAAAAATTTTTCATCCTATAGAACAAAAAAGGCCAACACATTTTCAGCTTCCTCTACTAACTTCGCTCCAGGAAAAATTGCATTATCTTTTATGCTTTCTTCTCTTTTGTTATGATCCTTTGGTTGCTACACTGCAGTCACGGTTATTTGGGTCGTAAAGTAGAGCTCTTTCGAAACAAGATGTTGGGAAAGTAAATGAACATTAAAACACACAGGTAAGAGCGGTTCATGGACACATCAGTTTATTCCCATCCATGGTGTTTTCGTTTTATTTATTTATTTTCATTTCCATTTATCGTTTCTATCGCTTTGTTTCAATTTCAGTAACCGGAGTTGACTTTTTCAACTTTTTACCATTTGTACACACTGTATCGTAATCATCAATACGGCAAAGTTTTATTGTGCGTCATACTGTAACGGAATATAGTTAAACAACTTCAACG